AAAATGACCTACAAAGATTCTTAAAGTTACCTTTTCTGAACAGTCATGGCAAAACCTATATAAACCCCAGACATTTGCTCAGTCATGAACAGATTATTAAGACACAATTTTAGTTGTCAGAAATGTGTAACTGTATTGCCTAACCCAGTCAGGTGTGACAATGATAAAGCAATGGAATAGCAAGACCTGAGCTACAAAAATATTCCTCAGGCCCTGTTCTCCTACTAAAAGATGATAATTGAAAAGTCTAACTAGATGCAGTGGGAATTTGTTCTAACATGAATACAGAGTAGGAAAACAATCCAATGTTTGGATACATCAACTGCAATCTCAGATGTACCCACTACTCTGACAGCTAGTAACATATGAGAGTGTTGTTTAGAAAATTGCCTAACTGCACTTTTGCTACACAGTGAAGCATGTGTAGGTTAAGTAACATTTTTCTGATTAACACAAAAAGCTTTTTTAAGAGCTTGCTGTAGCTAATTTTTCTTTCTCCTGCTCCTCTAAACTGAATTAAAAGCACTGGTGATTGTACTGGATGGTTCCTCTTATTACAGTGGTATATCCCAGATGCCTTTTCCAATAACAACAAAAATAAATTATGAAAATTTCCTCTCTTAAATTACGACCAAAAATTATTGGCAGAAGTAAAGGACATTGCTGTGTTTACACCAGCAAGAGAACTAGCCCCTAAATGTTTATATGTTTCTGTCAGTCACAAGATAACATAGGCTCTTGCAAATAACCCAGAATCTGGGAGCACATTTTGCTTCCCTCAGACAGAAGGGAAGTAAGTGCAAAATCTGTGAGCTTTACTAATGCCACATTTTTAACTGTCTCCCTCCCAAAACTTTTACTTTGGGTACATGATAAATAAGGTTTTTAAATTACACATGCAAGCTGTGTGTTTTGCAGATTCAGCTGGGTCTTTTCTTTCTGCCAATTTAGTAAGAAACTAACTTTTAAGTGATTTCTTTGTAACACCACCAGCCTACTACTTTGCTTTTCTGTTATGTTTTTTTTTATTATTATTTGCTACAAAGATAAGTAAACCACTTACATCCAAGATGCTGCAGTGGCAATGGTGGTCGCCCCTTGGTACAAGGTCAAAAAGAGCTATATTTTTCTGACAAAGTATTTACAGTAATTTTACAGGAAAGGTAAAAGTGAATGTCAATATTAATTCAGATTCTGCATGCTCTAAATTCTAGTAAAAATATATAATCATAGAACTATTCATGTTGGAAAAGACCCTTGAGACCTGATCCCCAACCATCATCCCTACTCTACCAAGTTCTCCCCTAAACCATATCCGCCAACACCACATCCAAATGACCCTTAAGCACATCCAGGAACGGTGACTCCACCACCTCCCTGGGCAGCCTATTCCAGTGTCTAATAATGTATCTTAATAAACAGAAAGTCATTACATACAAGCCAAGGGTGGTGAATAAGGTAGAGGTGCCCTTTGGCGTAGTCTTACTGTTACAGGGGAAATCCCCCTTATCCCACAGAGGTGTAACACAGCTAACTAGACCAAGTCACCATTGGATGAAAAATGAAATCTCATTTTTATTACATACAATACCAGAAAAATATGTCAATCCTTTTAAAACCTGTTTCACAAAGCTTCTTGATACTAATGCCAGGGGAAAAGAAACATGGACAGCTTGCATATATTCTGTATGTATAGGCATACTGTTAGGCATCTACACACACAGAGCAAGTTAAATATTTTTCCATCATTCCATTTATACTGTAATTTAATTACTGCAGCAAGCTGTAGGATAACACTGAGCTGCAAGCATTGTTCAACAAGCTAAGGAAAAGTTACGTTTTCGATTTCCAAGAGGAAGGGTGTTGACCTATCAAGTTGTAAAGGAAACCACTCACAAGCTTATTTCAATACCCTTGCTAAAAACAGCCCCCTGGAATTATGAAAGTCTCTTCCTCATCATCCTGCTCATAACAATTGGAAAACTGCAGATTGTTTAAAATACATTAACTTAACTAGATTAAAAAATAAAATAAATTGAGAGGAAAAAAACCCAAACCACAACCAACAGTGTTCTCACTCATGGAATTGCACTGCCTGTTCCTCCA